TCTTGTAGTTTGCCTTTTTATTTTTCCTATTGATACTATTAAACATATGGGGTCTTACGATACTTCTTTCCATGTGCATATGTAATTTTGATTAGCTAAACAACTGTTAAATGTCTAAACGTTATTATATTATAATTGATACTATTTTGATATACACTATTTAATGTTTCATGGTCTAACCGGACTATAAAGATAAATTCACTGGGTCACACCGTAATTTAGGATGTTGAAATTTTGATTTTGAAATCCACTAACAAAATCGAATGCAATAGAAAACAGGACAATAGGAACATAATTTAAGAACATACAAGTGAACATAACTGTTACTGAAATAACCAAGACAAGAGAAGAACGATTAATGGCCAGTCTATATTCGGTGTAATATCTCATCTGTAAATAATGGTGGAGGGGTAGCCTTGTAGTTAAAGTGTCGTGCTGAAGTGCCGTGTTCAATTTCCCAGATGGGTACAATGTGTGATTCCATTTTCTGGTGTCCCCCACCGTGACATTGCTGGAATATCGCTTAAACAGGCGTAAACCGATACTCACTCCCACACTCAGTCAGGAAATAAAGACTGTTATTTATACGATGTTCTAGAAGGTCATGATATGGTTGCACGTTCAATTGTTACTAATTTAAGCAATACTTACAAGAATGCTTGTCTACAGTGCTGACTATTCAATTTTGCGACTACCTTTCAGTTTTATGAGATATGCGAATACACAAATGACCAGTTTTCTCGGCGAGCCCTGATTATTTAATTTTGCGACTACCTTTCAGTTTTATGAGACATGCGAATACAGAAATGACCAGTTTTCTCGGCGAGCCCTGATTATTTAATTTTGCGACCACCTTTCAGTTTTATGAGACATGCGAATGCAGAAATGACCAGTTTTCTCGGAGAGCCTGTGATCTCAGAGTAGTAGTTACTTCTCGTGTAGTCTTAAAGATTATTACACACAGTAAACTTGGCAATGAGGACAGTCGTATATTGACATCGACTGATTATAGACTTGGGACAGAACATGCATGTTGTCTTAACACTTATCGCATAACGCGTACTAGCTTACAATTGGGAAAGGCCAGTGTATTTCAACACCAACTGAGATAGACATTTAATGCTCACTTTATTGAGTAAACTTCAGTCCTATTTGCTAGTCATATTTTAAAACTTCACAACGAGTTGAGGTTTGTTTTGGTTGATGTTTAACGTCGCACTCAGCAATACATGACGGCGGTCTGTAAGTAATCGAGTCTGGACCAGACAATCCAGTGATCAACATCAGAAGCATCGATCTTTGCAATTGGGATACGATGACATGTGCCATCCAAGCTCAATTAAGTAAGATGGGCGTATATATGAACTTTGATAGAAAAATAAATGAATGTCAATCATTGAATGTAGTCCAAATGTGTTATTAAAAGTATGAGAATGAGAATTAATAGTATATAATACCATAAAAGTTAAAACATCCAGGGAACTGAGAAAGTTTTCCCATGATGATTATTACATAATTCCAGGATTAAGAAATATACATGTACTGTAAATCATGAAATAGGTATAGTGCATTACATTTCCGGGCTGTAATTGGTTCAGTGATGTAACTTATTACATCGAAATGAAGTGTGCATAGTACTCTTGAAAAATAAAAAAGGAAACTTGATTAATGTCATCTTGACACCAGTTTAAGCTTCCTTATAACTCAAACCAGTTTCTCTCAGCTTTTCATCTTGACACCAGTTTAAGCTTCCTTATAGTTCTACTGCAGATAACACTGCCAGTGTCTGACACCTCAGCAACACAGAGAAAATATTGCTAGAGACGTGCCATCAGGGACCCCGTTACATAAATAGATGAGACAAAGCCCTTTCCACTTACGTTCACCATCTCCGCGAAAATCACAGTCGATTTTACAAATTTCAATTTGACTATATCACGAGTATGTGTTTGTGTGACGCCAGCAGCAGTATTACACCTGAGACAATCCAGTGATTGACAGCGGCCTGATCGGTACGACAGTGGTAGGTGTATCTTAAAATATGGGACTTACTGTCAGTTTAGCGCTTAGACTGACTGACTGACTAGTTTGGTTTTACGCCGCTGTTAGCATTATTCCAGCAACATCACGGCGGGGGGACACCAGAAATGGGCTTCACACATTGTGCCCATGTGGTTAGTGCTTAGAAAGATTAGTGGAATGGATTCCTGCACTTTACATATCAGATATTTAACTGTAAATGTGGGCGTTTGCATTGATGTGTAAATGTACATCATGTCAATGATAAATTTCATTTGATTTATATTTCATATACGAGATTTAATTTTATTCAATTTGTGTTATTAATATTAAAGAAGCAAAAAATCAATCAAGTCAAAGAAACTATTTTGAGGACAAGGTATCGCATCTATCGGTGACAAAACACATCTCAAGATACCGAACTAGATATTCAAATACAACGAGTCATTCCTCTGCGTTGTTTTCACTGACACTGTTTTCATTCTGTTTTATACAAATAACACTGAACGTGACTCATCGTTCTCTGCTAGTTCAAACCAGACAAAAAATATGTCAGCTACCAGTTAAGAAATCGATGCATAGTGAAACGAGCCATATACAGTATGTGTTGCTTGCACAAGACGTGAAAGGAATTATAAATTAGTCCATATATCTGCATATCACCCCGACAGGCTGACACGACAAGCACACGTTTTAGTCGGTTGTATTTACACAGCAGAAGCAAGTATTGATTTCGCGTCCGAACTGATTTATTACGTGGACTTACGAGGCCCTGCTATAAACTGACAAAGCTTTAGCTGATATGAAAACTACTGTAAGGACGCGCACCTTAAAGTTATTTACTCGTCAGCCAAAATATATTTGTACGGTGTACATTACCCAAAGTTTTTTATCTAAAAGACTCATGCCAATACTAAAACGAGTTTAATGTACGTTTTACAATTTCAAAGTTCTTAAATTACAAGCTGCCGTAAAGCTAACAACGTCTGAAATTACGTAACTGTCTTTTCCTGTGATAGTTTTAAAACGAAGCATCAGTTGAACTAAAATGATCACATTAATTGAACCTTTAATTAACCTTTAATGTACACCCCCTGCACTCCATCATGTACACCATAGCTTTATTTGGGCCTTGAATATCGTAACCTTTACAGAACAATGTCTAAGTCAAATGGTTAAAAGTGACGTTTAGGTTCTAAATTGGTAACAAATTCCATGTTTATGCGCTTGATATTAGTTATGTCAGTATATATCTTGGGGCAGGGAAGGGGATATTGACTGTAAAAGCTAAGATCATCGTTGACATTAAGTCAGTCACGGTATAACATGGCACTGTGTATTCATAGTAACGGTGTTGTATACTGACCCGCGTATGACCCACGACAAGCTGCTATTCATGTCTGGCGCTGGCGCTTATATATACTACTGGAATATAGTAACTGTGCATTTTTTTATGTTATGCCATTTTTTACTGAAAGAAAAGATATAACATGATTTGTGGTGTTTTCCTTAATCACTGTTTAACTGTCGACAGGATAATATTGAAATCTGTGTGATTTGACACTTGGCATCGTGACACACCATTGAAGAGATGTGGTTTCAAATGTCATTGTGTGTCCGCCATTGACGTTTATACTGGCTTGGCAACGACGACGCACAGACGACATTAACCGACTGAAGGAAGAATGGGGAATGTTGTTACATGTCTGAACCAACGCTTGTTCCGAATCAGCTAACGTCAATGGCTGATTCTGGTCTTGACGTAAACGCCGCTCCATTTCATCCCAAGCGTGCTCGATGAGGGACAGGTCCGGAGAAACAACTGGCCACATGAGTACCGGAATGTTCTGCAACGTCATGAAATCTGTCACAATACGAGCGATATGTGGACGGGCACTATCTTGCTGAAGTGTGAAGTTACGTCTCTGTCCTTGAATGGGAAAGCTGCACATGAGGTCCAGTGATGTCATCCCTGTATCGCAGACCTGTCAGATTGCCATTGACAATGACAAGTTGTGTCCGACCATGAGATGTGATTTCCCCCATACCATAACGCTCCGGACACCAAATTGATAACCGTGGACAACGCCCGTGTCAGCATACCCTTCACCTCGCCGTCTGTACACCCTTGCCCTGCCATCTGAGCTGTCCAGATGAAATCTCGATTCGTCAGTGAACAAAACACCATCCCAATCTTGTACCAGGCAAGGCGTACCTGATGGTGACGTTGGAGCAAATTTGGACGTATTGCAGGCCGTCGGGACCGGATGTTGTTCCGTACAGTCCTGATTGGACGTAAGCCAGGAATGGTCCGAGCAGCAAAACTGGCAATCTGGAATCGATTCCCTAGATGGGTCAGCCGAATGAGGTTGTCTTCCTGACGTGACGTCACGCGTGTACGACCCGTCCAAGACAGATCTCTCGTGTTACCATTATGTTGAAAACGTCTACATAGAGATGATATCGTGTTTCGATGGACACCAATATGTCTGACCACTTCCAGTCTCCAGGATACCAACGGCGCGGATGCGATGATCATGATTTTCTGTGAGCCCTGGCATGAGGTACGCGCAAATCAGGTTGAAATTAACGTGTTTTCCACAGCATTCAGATACAAGAGTATAATATACGTGATTATTATATTCATTATCAAGCGTGTGAACTTCAGGTGTCAAAAAAGCGTGCAAAAGGTGAGTAAGTTCACTGTGCACAAAGTGCACGTTCCACGCGCAATACGTGACATCAAATTTCATGCAAAGTGCTTTGGTCCATATATTTTTAGGGTTATTTTCATAATTTGTTCAATAACTTTTCTCTTATGCAATTTTATGTTATGCACAGTTACGTAGAGTATCTGATAAGAATTAACCATGCCGTATATTGTCGCAGTATAAAAACTACATGAATTATTGCTCTTCAGTAGAATGTGTCACGTGTGTTGTGATAAGTAACAAGGGCTATGCGTCATAACTGCGGGGTTTGCTGAGAGGTTTACACGCTGTGCTGGGGACTGGGGACACAGCTAAGCCGGTGATCATAGGCTCACATCGAAGAAAATGAGGAAGCGTATATTCGGAATGCGATGTGGGTAAGTATTGTTCGATGTTTCAGATTTTGTCTTTTAGTGACATTTCGCGACTACTATTCAGAAGACATTCTCTGGTGTTGTAAAAGTTTTGATGTTCAAGTTTTGACATTAGTTATTCTCTGATGCTGACACTTTACATTTGGTCAATCCATCTCATCTAGACGAACACTGTATTATGTCCTCCCCAAACATACAGTCTGTAAGTCAAACCAAAGTAGCTGTAACCCAAATCACAACTTACATAATACCTATCTTGCATGGCAGCAAGGGATTTGGAAATATTACCATGTTGATAAAGTGTAGTCATGTTTTTTCTACATAGTCAATTCCTATACAAAACATCATTTTACCTGGTTGATTATTACAGGTAGTCTCCAACCGTTTAGTTACTTAAGTCTCAAGCACGTCCTCATTTTCTTAACTTACTCATCCTCTGAGCATAAATACTCAGATCACTGTATTTGATACCCGTGACTTAGGACCCAGTCCCAAATTATTACATTTTCTTGAATTTGCATGTGTTTGTGACTGGTACCATCTATTCGTGAACAACTGGTGTCATGAGAGTTTCACAGCGATTCACAGAAATATGTTACGATAGAAACGGACTATGACTGATTTCCATCTTCTGTGTTTGGTTGTCTGGATCCTTCTCCCGTGGTGTGTGTGAGTGCGTGTGTGTGTGTGTGAGAGGGAGAGAGAGAGGTTACCACTGTGAGTCAACATGAGGCACCAGAACACTTGCGTTTTGTATGCAAACAGTTCAGGCGGGTTGGAGCATGCTTATCGCCTCGGGCGAATACTTGCGGTGCGTAGACATTTTTTCTCTGTCTGGACTGAAAACCTACGCAGTTCCGGTATAGCTGTAGCTGTAGAGGTGGCCATGGTGACGAACCCGTTTGAACCTGGCCTGCGCTGCATTTGTGATCTGCCCGGATCTGAGCAGGTCATGTGTTGACCCTGAGTCTGATAAGGGTTCTGCTGTCTTGTATTGGTGCTTGGCGATATGTTGAAAGATCTGGCTACGGTCCAAACCGAGTCGCAGGCCTACAGTCAGTCATGTTTTCACTTCTCACTAGCTGTAAAGTTGTGATGACAGACAACACATTGCCCAACAATTCATGCTGCACTTTAATCTTTAAACTTCACTATCTCAAAAACTATAAGAGATAAACTGATCAAATCTTCACTCAATGTAGACGACACCATTCTCCATCGATTCAACGCATAGCGGAAGTTGGCCGCCAATATGGATTTTTCGCCATTTTGAAAATACTGACATTTTTGTAGATTTTGACGTTTTGATGGAGCCTGTGTTTAAAAATCTTCTCATCCTGAAAGGCAAATATTTTGTAATAGAGGGTGTAGAGAGTTTTCACGTGACAGGTAAACAACGAACAAAATGAATGTGAAGAAGTGATACAAGAAAGGTTCTGAGGTGTGGAACTATATCGGTGTGAAATTCTTCAATTAGATACGAACAAGTATATTATTATTTCTTAAATGATTTCTGATAAAAAAACAACTGTAGTATCACAGCTATGGCGTCTACTTTCCCTCCTAGTACCATATGTTAACGTCTTTTGGTATGACGCGGCCGGGGATCGAACCCGCGACCTTCCGCTCTCCGGGTGGACGCTCTAACCACTACATCACGGAGGCGGTCTTTTAAAATATATACTACATCGACCTGCTTTGCTACATTTGTCTGTAATCATATGTCTGTAAATAGGTATTTTACAATTAAAAATTCCAATCATGTTGATAAAGTTGTCAACAATTGTATGTAGTAAAGAAATATGCGTGTGAATACTTCTTTTCATTGTTTCAGGTCGGCGTGAGGTAAAACGACACAATGCACAAGAATGTATGGTGCCGATCATGGTGATAATGGTAAGTCTTTGATGGTATTTAGAAAGAGAAACATAGAAATGTATTCACATATTATTTTAGTTTTCCTCAATGCTTGCTGGTAAACACACACAACCAAATATGGGTTCTTCCTGTCCATCAGACTGATGTCCCCTGTATTGTTAGTTGGACTCGACAATTAATGGATGTTTCTAATTTCAGTTTTGTTTCTTAAGATTTAGCACTCTTCACGATCTTTATAACTGTTTATATGCATCAAAAGAATTTGAAATTTCAAACTTGATCGAATCCAGTGCCTCACTCAATAGAATTCTCCCAGACAAACATGTCAGGATTACTAGAATTTCCAGAGGTGCGCGTTTGTAAATAGCTGAATGATTATGTGCAGTAATCTCGTATATATGAATGAATCAAGGTTTTATGATCAGCAACCTTATCAGCTTCGACTTCTGCAATCTGACAACTGAGATACAACTGAAAAGCTCTGTCGTAATGGCGATGTTTAAGATAAATCTCTTGTTTGTTCACAGATGGTCTGTACAACATTAACAGTGAAACAGAAAAGCTGACAGGTAAGAATCATATACCTCAACAGATACACGTTCTAAGAACTGTTTTAGTTTCTTCACTGCTGCCTCTCATATGGAGTATATGGAACTAACAAACTGATGGATAACATAGCTCAAGCAACATTGTATTTGCTCCCCAAATGTCTTCAAGCTGTATTTGGCTGGTGCTAGATCATCTCAGAAATTCAATATATAAAAGGGATCTAAACTTATCAATATTCTGTTGCAGATAAATGCTCAGTATGTAAGTCATTAAGAGACAGATACAAGGAAAAATACAAGAAAAGTCCTCGAGATCAGCAATACAACTACATGCAGACTACAACACCATCAGGGGAAAGAAAAGCAAAGAGAAGTCATCAGTCTTGGAGAAAGTAGCAAAGGCAGCGTCAGCGTTACGTAACAGTGGCGGGGAGTGCTGTTAGTTCACCTGGAGGGACATCACCAGAAGATAGGTGTCTCGAGTACTTTGATGAATTTGTAGTGAAGACCTTCACAAACTTATTGGAAGGTGGCGAACTGTATACTGACTCATACGAAAGATATTTTCTTAGTGATCAACTGAAATTCAGGGACGCGTGTGACTTTGTTGTAGTTAAAGTTAACAAAACAGCCGGTCTAGCTACGGTTGATTTCAACACGAAGGCAAACAATGACAATGAGAACCTGGATATAAATTCATCGATCCTCTCTGAAGTATTGGGTAAAAGGAAACAACGGAAAAGAACCAAGCGTCTCTCAGGAATCTGCCCCAAAATGTGAACACTTTTCATGAGGATCGGCACATACAGTTGAAAACATTCAAAGACAACACTGAAGAGATTAAGCGAAAACAAACCAATGTTGAGAAACTGACTGACCATATCTGGCACAATCTTAAACTGAAAGATAACATAACGTCTATGTCAAAGCTGGTTCAAGGTGGGTCATACTACCTGGGCGTTAACGAAAAGAACGTTGTCACACAGAGAGGTTATCAAACAAAAGTTGCAGAAGTTGTTGGTTTCAAACTACATGTGAGTCAGGCATCCTTGATAGAGAGTATCTACAAGAAGGTGGAGACTGATCTGTGTGTTCTCACAAGGAAGGGACAGTTCACAGATGCTCCTAGAGACCTGATAAACATAGCATTCCACCATATTCCACAATCTGAGCAATTCGTTTTGGAAGTAGCCATTCGATATTGCGATGGAGTTGTTTTCTATGATAGGCAAGGGCCAAGATCATACATACTCGATGAAAACGACCCAATTGTTCGGAGAATGAGCAAAATTGAGTGGCTTCAGAAATTCTTTGACACTCGTACATTGAATGCAACATCTGTTTAAGTTCAGTAACAGGCAACCAGCCAGTTCCTTTCACTGATTAACTCTTCTGAGAAAGACATCCGATAGGCAACTGGAACAGCCTCATTTGCTTCATGTTTCAATCTACGAATGAAAGTTCATGTTGATGACAAATTCTGTGACAAACTTCGTGTCAAGACGTCAACGTTTCAATAGTGAACCGTGCTGTGGCGATTGGGACAGGGTGCTCTCAGCCTATCGCTGGTTGTATCTTCAAAATATTGATTGACACATAGCCGGAATCATGCGATGTTATGCTGCTGGAATACATATTGTGACATATTCGTGGTATAATATGGTAACGTCTATCCTGTTGAAACACATTACAGTGGATATATCAAACCATACTTATAGCCGCTCCCCAAGCAGTACCGCCAACTCACTTCGGCAGCAACGTCTGCTATACTCAAAGCAGCACAACCAGCTGTATTCAAGAAGCATCACCAGCTATACTCCATACATCATGAGCAGCATCATGTGCAACGATACTGACTCCACAGATAGCAGCAACATGTCCGATAGTAGTACTGACACCTCAGTCGGGTCCAGTCCATACCAGTCTGACGAGGATGTCATGACGTATTTTATTGTTGGAGAAGCTGGGGATACAGGTAGGAACAGCTACTGTGTTATTCTATATTTAATCAGTACTATAGTATAAACGCTTTCTTTGAAACCTGAAGGTATTGATACTTACACTGCGATACAAAAAGGCTTGTCAATTCCTGCTTGATCACAACAGATGAAATATTCCGATTGAAAGAATAACAGCCTTACGGTTGTATAATGGTATATTTTCATTATTTCTGATACATAAGATTATTGAAAAACATTATCATGAATTTTAACTTGTTTAAGTACTGCACGACGTGACTTAAATACCGCCGATGTGACTAAAAGGTTTATTTCAATTTAAGTCATAATGCTGTTTCTCCGAAATGTATGTGATCCATTCAAACTACTTATGACAGTGTTTATCAGAGTTCTTAAATTTATGATTAGGGTCCGTCAAGGGTGAGTTCTGATCCCGTTTTGGTTTGGTATAGAGAAGTAACAATTCCTTTAAACTTCACCCAGATATTGTGTCGTCTGCTGTTCGCCGTTTTCGAACTTCAGGATGCTATTAATATCAATGTCTTAACGCTTGCTTCTCGATTTGTGCTTATGGATGACAACGCTAAACCTCATCGCTCTCGAGCTGCGACTGAATTTCTGGAGGACACACTATTAAAAATATTGCCTGCTATGAGTACACGTTTGAATCAATTGTTTGGGACATTCCTAGACGTCGTATGCAGACGCTACAACTGATCCACCATAGAGAATGTAGAACCCTTAGTGGGAGTGGCACCAGTACCTCTTGATCGCTTACCAGGAAAAAGGGAGGATGGTTGCCACTGTCATCCAGTCACAAGGCGGCTACCTTTGCTCCTGAATTTCAGGATTAGGATTAGCTTGATAATATGAATAAGATCAGTTTTGGACAGCAATGGCTTTTCGAACCTAACCTCTCAGATCCGTAGTTTTCGTGGCTACAAACTGTGCTTAATTGCAGTACTTGAGGAACAGAGTTTTAAGCAATTAAGATATTGAATGTTGGCATCGTTTTCGATGTTTTGAAGAGCCTTATTTTCCATTCAACATTTAGTTCTCCACCATTTCTTTTTCAACATAATGGTAACACGAGAGATTTGCCTCGGACTGACCTTCCACGCGTGACGTCACGTCAGCAATCACTTTCGGCTGACCCATCTAAGGAATCGATTCCAGACTGCCCGCCTGACTGCTCGAAACATTCCCGGCTAAACGTCCACATTTTGTAGTGGTAGGGATATGGTATGGGGCGCCATCACATTTCATGGTGAGACACAACTTGTCATTGTCCATGGCAATCTGACAGGTCTGCAATACAGAGATGAGATCATTGGGCCTCATGTGCAACTGTTTATTCAAGGACAGAGACGTAACTTCAGCAAGATAATACACGTCCACATCTTGCTCGTGTTGTGAAATATTTCCTGAGACAGAAAAACATTCCGGTACTCCCCGGCCGGATGTTTCTCGGGGAGCCTGTCTGCTATCGAGCACGCTTGGGATGAAATGGAGCAACGTTTACGTCAAGGCCAGAATCAGCCATTGAAGCTGAAGTATGTAGACTTGACACTACAGTGGATACAGTTGAGGACAGTGTGAGTAGTTGTGATAATCTGTTAGAGGAGACTTCAACTGCTTTCAGACAGAAGCTAGACACGCATTAACAGACATGTTGAAAGTTGGAAAAGCATTGTGCAGAAAGTGCACACGGTGACATTACCCACAATATTGTGCTACATAATGTACCAGAATAAAATAATGAAAATGTTTTTTAATAAAGGTTAATGGTTTGCTAAAAGAAAATAAGAGGGATTCGTTTTATACGTGCAAAAAGGAAAGTGTCCAGAAATAGCAGGTATCCCGGTGTCATCGTCACCAAGTGTAGTTCTATCGACGACAAGAATGTGATTCTGTCTGAGAAGAAGAAACTGAATGAATCAAGAAACTTCAGAAATGTGTACATTGCAGCCGATAAAAAGTCAACAGCAACGGTCCTTCAAATTCAGCTTCAAAATGCTGGTGGATGCTATCGTAAAGGAAGACTTGAAGTTTACTGGAGGACGTGTACAACGACAAAAAATGATCGAGGCCAGGATGGAAGGAACGAAAGAGTGACTCAGCCACAGCTCGTGGATGGGACTATCAACACACAATACGTGACAAGAGCTATCAACACACAACACGTGCCAACAACTATCAACAAACAACACGTGACAACGGGCGAGCCAATCATCCGACGAGGAGCAAGGAGCGGAAACAAGGAAGGGAGCGGGTGACTGGAAGAGGCAGGGCTAGTTATTCAAATTAGTACAAGTCCGGGCTTTGGTACTACAATGGTTGGTCTAGTGACAGTAATTCAAATGATCATCTGTTAAGATCAGCTTGTGTTCCTCATTTAGATTGTGACATTGTTGGCGTAGTTGAAACTCATCTGAAATTTAATCAATCTATAATTGCGGAAGACTATGCGTGGTTTGGACACAATAAAACTATCTGCACTGGCAAGCCAAGGGAGGCTCTGGAGGCGTGGGCTTCATAATAAAATGACTTATTGGTTAAATATAATGTGACTATTCTTGATGTTGAGAATGAAGGCATTTTGTAGTTCAAATTAGAACACAATAGTACATGCTTATTTTGCATATGTGCATGTTGTTTGCATTCAGAATGTTCTACCTGAAGCATCGATGCAGTTTGACTTTTATGACAAATTTCTGATTGAGATATCTGAGTACCATGTGTATAATATTGGTTATATTTGTGGTAATCTAAACGGTTGCTGAATTCTTGATAAACACATATTTCTGTGTGGTAAATGGTAGAAATAATGTACAAAATGACTTTACTTGTATTTCAGGGAAAGGGGCCTCTGTGGTTAATTATTGTTTATGTGCATTTGAGAATTTAATCGTATTTCTAATTTTAATGTTACACGTCTGTGATTTAGTTCAGTATTACTACATTAGACCACTCCGTAGTATCATGGACTTTGAATTTCTCCCGGAACGTCATATTAGCAATTCTGTGACTGTGATCAATGAAGTGTGAAATGTGTGAAACATGATGTTACGTGTGTGCCCGAAACCATATCAAATTGGAATGCTCACTCTGTGAACAGTGAGATGTGGATGTAGCCTACACTAATTTCCTGTCTACCGTTAACTTTTTTGACACAATGGTCTGGTCTACTGCTGACTAAGGGCAGCGATTTAGGGGAGCTCAAACGCTACGTACGTCACGACTCAACAGAACAGAGCTATGAAATTCTTTATGGGTGTTCGGAAATTCTCTCTCCCAAACGAGGCGAAGGAACAGAAGGAAACATTGGTTAGACCCCGACACCAGTTTAACTCCGAGGGGACTGTGATGAAAACGTACACCAGAACTCAACAGCCTAAACCCCGAAAGATTTCGAAGAAGTTAAAAAATGGATTACGTGTAATGGAAGTTATACACAACGTTCAGAGTTTAGTACGACAGATATGTTATGAGAACTGGAAGAAGATAGATTGCCCGACTAGTCGAGATTGCAAGTGAGGTAATATACGTCGACACTACAGAACCTTTAAGACGAACTATGAAGTGGAACACTACATTACTGATAACAGCGATAGCCATGTATAGATGCGGTGTTGCCCCCTTTGTTAATAGAAACTGGTCGCTACAGTAGTATGCCTTTAAATGAGAGAGAGTGTGTTTTAACTGTTTAAAATGTTGTTGAAGATGAAAATGCATGTACTTTAATACTGTCCTTTATATCAGTCTTTACAAAACGTCTGTTGGCTGAGTGCTTAGTTTTAAATGGTAATTTTATGAAGTTTACAGATGTGGAAAAGTTATCGTTTTTAATGTCTAGTCCTATTTAATGTAAATTAACAGCCAAGACCCGCTTTGATATTTTAAAGGAACGGGGGTTTACTATTTGTAAATATCTCTCTCATAATCACATAAGGGATGGCTCATGTTATGCATTTTACTTTTTACGATGTTTTGAATGTATAACGTATGAGGTGAGATTCGTAATAAAACAATCTGTCAGCCTGTCTGTCTTTCTGCGTCGTTGCCAAGCCTCCATCAACACCAATGACTTTTGACATAACATCTCTTCAAGGACGTGTCCACGATGCCTAGTGACAAATAATACAGATTTCGATATTATCTTGTCAATAGTTAAACATTAAATAAGAAAATCACTGCCAATCATGTTATCGTTTTGCATTAAAATAATGCACAGTTACTGTAGTGTGTCATACGATGAACATGTGAATGTCCGTTTTGCAGTGATTTTGAAAGAGAGGATCTATGCCAACATTTTAATTTTGACTTTCCTATATATATTTATACTTATATATTATAGTGTATGTAAAATCAGTCGACCGCAACTGCTGTTAGCAATGCAGAAGTTTTCAATGTAGAATTAAACGTCATGTTTACAGCCCTTTGTGAAATATAAGGGCTGGGAATTGCAGCCAGATGAAATTATTAGTTAAAAGTCTGAATAATCCAAGGTACGAATCAAAACGTATTATGTTTCTACACATACAAAATGGTTATCCCGAGTATATCATATGCGCTTTATGCATGGCACCAGAGCGTGTCCTTAGGTTGCTAGTGTCATGTTTTGCATATACCTGGTGAGACGTGTCGTGGGTAAACGTGCGAAGAAAACGTCAGCATTTGAAATACACTTAAAAATGTTTTAATATGAGAAGCGTAAAAGTGACGCTCATTCACTTGTAATAATATACGTGTGAAATGTTACCGGAGTTTGAACGGGAAAGGGTCCGGAGGGAGGAGGATATACTGCAGTGTACCATATAGGTATCGTCGTGTATAATGTTGCGGCAGTATGAACGGGATGGGGATGCAAGTGAGACTGACTGGGAAACTGGAACTACACACGGAGTTTATCTATTTTACTGTTGCATTTCAGATAACGCTGCTTGTCGTACACCCATACAGCAGGTTGGAAATGAAGTGGAACAACTGACCTCAGGGGGCTTCACAGACCATGGCTGAACAAGAGCATGGTAAGTTGCAAATTGATTGATTGTCGTTGTCACACGGATTTTATGTTAATAATGGTCCCATGGTCGTGAAGTTATAGTTGTTCGTAAATTTACATACTTTCTGACTGTAGCCAGCATTATTGCTGTGCAGGTAACAGTGAAGTCTTGAATATTATTTCATTGCTCAGTTTGACATTGCCCTGACTGATGAATGCCAGTATCTTAAATCGGTGATTAGCCAGCTACATGGGAATACCCTATCAGGTATTGACAAGGCAGATGCTATACGGAATCCGAAGGTACATTAGTTTCTTATATGTCCGTGGAAAACGTTACAAACTCTACTTTAAAAATATAATAACAGAATCACTGTGTACAACAGTGTATAAAGTACTGTTCCAGTCGGTTGCAAAAGGAACAACTAAAAGTATGTACTTGCAAAACATTTTTAGAGATTTAAATGTCTTGTGATATCATTTTTGGGATTGTCCAACAATATCTGGCATGTCCACCATGTTTATGCAGAAACATACACCACACCTTGACACACTTGCCCGCAATTCCGGCTGCAGATCTGAAGCTGGTCCAATAGCTGGATCTCAGGCGTAATCGCAATGTATCTCGTGTTGACAAGGTAGATATATGCGCTATACTGCAGGCAAAGGTAAATCAATTACTTGTATGTCCGTGCAAAAGGTTATAAACTCTACATTAAAGAATATAAATAACAGAATCACTGCCAGTGATACAGTGAAGCTTTAAATGTCTGTTATATCACTTTTTGGAGAGCCGAACAATATTAGCATGTCCACCATTTTATGCTAAACATACAAGCTGGACCAGCTGCTTCTGGGTCTCTGTCGTACTCTCAATGTCTGTTTCTTTCCCCTGCCCCAGAACCTGGTCACAATAGCGCCCGCTGACCGATCATAGCCAGGAATCGTTGCGCCTTGGCGGTTACCGCTCGACGATAAGTCGACAAGTTGTTCGTCGTTATCCACTATGTTAACTTACACAGGTGTTCACACAGTTATACAGTTCTGCCGAAGTCAAAGATTACCAAAAACAAACACTATCCTTCAATCTCACATTTTTCCATTTCAAATATACTACTGGAATAAACTAAATGTGCATTATTTAATATTATGTTATATTTTAATGCAAAAAGGTAGTAACATGATTTGTGGTGTTTTATTGAATCACTGTTTAACTGTTGACAGAGGAAATATCGAAATCTGTATGATTTGACACTAAGCATCGTGACACGCCCTTGAAGAGATGTGGTGTCAAAACTCAGTCCACAACTTCAATGGCTGATTCTGGGCTTGACGTAAACGTCGCTCCATTTCATCCCAAGCGCGTTCGATAGGAAACAGGACAGGAACAACAGCTGGCCAGTTGAGTACCGGAATGTTCTTCTGCCTCAGGAAATCTTTCACAACACGAGCGAGCGTGAAGTACGTCTCTGTCCTAGAATGAACAGCTGCATATATATGGCTCAATGATCTCAGTGTATCGCAGACCTGTCAGATTGCAACTGACAATGACAAGTCGTGTCCGACCATGAGATGTTATCAATAGAGAGCATACCGTTCACCTCACCGCCTGTAACCCTTGCCTTTGAGCTGTCCAGATGAAATTTCCACTCATAAGTGAACAAAACACAAATCCAGTCTTGTCTCCTGGACCGTAGATGCTGTCTGCACAGGCAAGACGTGCTTGTCAGTGACGTTGGAGCCAACGTGAACGTATTGCAGGATGTCGGGACCGGATGCTGTGCTTTCTTAGTCGGAATGTGGTTGCTTTGCTGACGTGACGTCACGCGTGTACGGCCGGTCCGAGGCAAATCTCTCGTGTTCCCATTATGTTGTAAACGTCGCCATTGAGATGAGATCGTGTTTCGATGGCATCAAATTGCCTGGCCACTTCATTTGGGGCCAATCCAATCTCCAGCATACCCACCGCACGTAGACGCTATTTTTCTGTAAACCACATGACATACGCGCAGTTTAGTCTGAGCTTAACGTGTTTTCCACGACATTTAGAGACTTGAGAATTATCAATTGTTCTTCAATTTTCAATATCAGGTGTGGAAACTTCAGGCGTCCTGAAGCATGCAAAACGTAAGTTCACTGTGCTCAAAGTCCACGTGCCACGCGCGATACTTAACATCAAATAAGATACAAAATGCTTTGCTACATGTTTATTACGGGTTATGTTTCTTATTTTTCAACTAACGTTTATTTTTGTGCAATTTTATATCATGCACAACAATTGCCTTTTTCCGTTAGTATGTATCACCTGAACAAATCAAAACAAGGTTGGGAATATTTCTATAAAATACTGATTACAAATTAAGCGAGAGAAATTACTATTTTGTTCAATACGACTCTTGACATACTATGAAAGAACATGATAGAAAGAGTATCAATCCTATCGTGACGAACGTGACTAAACTATAATGCTTCAAGTATCAAATCATTTTGTATCATACCTTGCCAATGATAACTGTCTTTTCAATAAAATAGCACAGGCAGACAGTACTACGTACTGATGGCTCCTAGTATGGTGATCTACCTTCGGATGTTGGCGATCTATAGCCTTTTTTTTATATTGTGCTGTCCCCTAAAGTTAAAATGTTTTTAGATTTAATTACTAGTTTTACATGTATATCCTGTGATATTCTAGTTGTTTTACTGTCCTTCGTCGGCAGGTTTTATAATATCTGTATATATATTCTATACTACCCATCAAAGTTTAGACTCAGTTATGGCAATGTCAGTATCTTGGAGGAAAATAGCAATCGTGTTCAAAATCAGCAACAAACACAACATCACTCATTTATGGTTTTAATCCGTATGAAATGAGGACGTGTACATTCCTCAAAACTTTTGTAAAGAACCGTAAACATGGGTACTGTGAAAAGTGTGTTTCAAAGTCAATAATGGGTATGTCCCCTGGCTCTGGCACAAGCATCGCACCGACGTCTCATGCCACGTACCAAGTATCAAGCTGCCTCTGGGGGGATGTTCTGCCACTCTTGTAACAAGGCATTTCGAAGCTGGTCAAGGTTAGCAGGGGAGGAACTCTGGCGTAAACACGGCGTCCCAGCATGTCCCACACATGCTCTATGGGGTTGAGATCGGGTGATAACGCTGGCCATTCCATACGATTAACCCTGTTCTGCTGCAACCACGCTGTTACGATGCGAGCTCTGTGGGGACCTAGCGTTATCATCTTGCAGAACAGCCTGGCCTGGCATGGCCCGCAGGAAAGGAAGCACCACAGGGGCGAGAATCTCATCGCGATACCTCCTGACCCGTCAAGTTCCCATCCACTACCACTAAAATCGGTTCGTCCAGTCATTGAGATTCCGCCCCAGACCATAACGGACCCACCTCCAAAATGATCGTGTTCAACAACGTTAGCGTCAACGTAACGTTCTCCTGACGTCTGTACTGCAGGTATTCGGCCGTCGTTGAAGTGCAGTTTGAACCTGGATTCGTCGGTGAACAACACACGTGACCATCTGCTCTGCACCCCATCTCAAATGCCCATTAACCCAGTCAATCAGAGCCCGACGGTGACGTGGTGTAAGAGGGGCCTAACGGCAGGACGTCTTTGCACGCAGTCCAGCTCGACGTAACCGGCGCCTTATCGTGGATACAGAAACATGACGTCCAGTGGCGTGTCTGAACGTATCGTTTACTGGAGGTGGCCGCGATGTGTCAGGCTCCTGAGAACGATCAATCGGATGTAACGATCATCCTGTTGCGACGTCACTCGTGGCCTACCCGATCTTAGCCGATCCTGGACAGGAATTCGTCTGTTGAAAGCGTGTCCAGAGGTTGGAAATGGCCTTCTGGGATACACCATGACGCCTGGCTACATAACGTTGTGATTTCCCATCTTGTAAGAGTGCCAAGGCTTCATGTCGTTTTGCATTTGACAAACTTCTCCCTCGACCCATGCTGACGGAGAAGTGAAATTTGGCCCTACCCTCTCACTGAATCAATTTCAAACCGTGTACCAGATTGAAATACACGAGGTTCATAACTGCAACATGTTGTGATGCACGTGCTCACACCGTACATGCTCATGGCTGCGTTTGGCTTGACAATTTCATGACATTTTCATCATTTTCACAAAATTGTACCAGGTATGGATTTCAAAATCCTTAGGCATCAAGGCTACGAATATGCCGAACAGTATTTCGAGTTATGCGCCTTATTCCACATGTGAAAGTTCATTAGTTTCGGGCTATTCCGGTAGTCAAAGTTAATTGGTGAAATAGGGGTAATCTGTTAACAGGGTGAGTCTAAACTTTTTGATGGGTAAATATTTAAATGTCAAATGTTCTCAAAATCACGATATGGCTGAAATATTGCCGATGTGACGTTAAATATTAACTAACTCCTCACTACGTACTGATCTACAGAAATAGAAGATATTATTGTATTATCATACAATGGATAGCGTTCTCAGGCAAAGCCAACGGATATTTTCGGTATCCTTTAGGACCATTCGTGACCAACTCGTATTATTCCAGGACAAGCCGAAAAGCGACTCGTGCCCCCTGGAAGGTTTTCATATTGGCGCATGAACATCAGAACTACTTTAAACAAGAACGATAACTCTATTCCTGTTTTGATACAAGTGGTTCTTAATATCACCGAAACACTCGTACATTGTATTGCTGTTTTGATTATTTACCTATTCATTTTAAGGAATTAAACGTCTTTGATACAACTAAAAGAAGGAGAAAAGACAAATTTGTTAAATGCATATTCTAACGTAATTATCACCAGCTGTTCACAAATGGGATTTGTTTTACTGAATGTGCAAATAAGAGTTTTTAAAAACTCGGCTAAATTAAATCCCAAAGCAGATACTAAAAAATGACTTTGATATATTTCTCATACTGAATATTCGTGTAACCTTGCTGTCATACCCCAAGTGGAATTTTAAATGAATTCGCTGAAAATATATGAATGACCAAAACAAGTCAGACTAACATATTC